ATTGAGATTTGAGTATTGGATAAACCCTCGCTCAGAGTATCACTTCATGGAATTCATCACGAGTAATACTGAGACGATAATATCTTATAATCTTGAAATGGAGATATATGAGTTGTAATTTACAAAGTCGGTTATACATTGGTGATACGAAAACGCATCAGTAACTTGGTGTTATAAAACGTATTGTCATGTATAATTTGATGAGTAAAAGATACAAGCATATGAGTCAACGTTTATTCGTTCCTTTTGCCCTAACCGAAAAAGCGATATCTGTGGGCCCCTCGATGATTTGGTGTTGACTTATGTGCTGGGCCCAGCCAGGACTAAATTGATGTGTTCAATTAGAAGTCCTACATCATCACAAATCAGAAATCGGGAAATAGAGATTCTGGACAAAGAGATTGATTATATTCCATGTCTTATGTCTGTGGATATCTTGCATAACGAAGGATTATATGATCACTTATCTAAGGACACGTAACTGACTGGGTCAGAGTTCAACAGCAGCTTTTGGAAGCTACAATTTGCTGGTCAAATTTAGAAGTCATACTAGCAATTATAGTTACAGACTTATCCAAGTGGGAGACTGTTGGATTAGGTGTCTAAGCTCATAACTATAATTGGTATGTACTTGAATTGATAGCAGCACAGTCATTTTGGGTTGCCCTCAAACCTAGCAACTGGACAAGGAAATTATGAAAGGAGAGATATTAATTTATAAGATTAATAAGTTAATATAAATGATTTATTAATATGTTAAAAGATTAATATATTAATTAGAAATCATTATGTTTAATTAATAGTTAGCCAGAAATTAATCAGAATTAATTTTGGGGTTAAAAGTATTAATTATAAAGTGCAGGGACTAGTTTGCAATTATCAGATAGTTGAGTGGAAGGCTCCAGAACCTCCTTGGAAGGAGGTGGACGAAATCTATAGGGGAAACCCTAAGGATTTCGTCCAAGGGGCTTTGGATAAGGCCTTTGGATTAGCTTAGGCCCCAAGCAAAGGAGTATTAGGGTTTTCCCTAAACCCTAGATCCCTCAGCTATATAAGGAGCCTCCCAGCTCCTGAATTCGCCCACTCCTTCATTGGTGAAACCCTAGGGCCGAAAATTACATACTCCCTCTCTCTCTCTCTCCTTCTAATTTCCTTCTTGCTAGCTCTTGGGTGTGATTCCATTAGAGGCATTACATTTGTGGTGCTAAGCTTCCAAGAAGATCAAGATCAAGATCAAGAGGATTGTCAATTGTTTGCTATAACAATTGAAAGGTATGTAACTCTTAAACTCTAGTTTGTTAATTTCAAAATTAGCCTCTCTCCTCTAGGGTTCTTGTTTTGCAATTCAAAGTTATATGTTCAATAGTTAAAACATAGATCCAAAGTAGGTTGCATGTGAACTTAGGAATTGTTTTCTAGTTTATTTGTTTCACCTAAAACCCATCAATTACTATACAATCGATTTAAATGAGTCTTAACACATCAAAACCATAGATCTGGCCTCCTAATGTCCATTTTACACGTAAAGTTCCAAACTTGGTGCACATGCATGGGGTCTTTGGCTCAAAAAGCCATAAAAGGTGATCTTCAATATGCATGGGGCTCTCATGGCCATAAAGTTGGCACCTTTATGCCATGAGACCCCTCCTAAGGCCCAGATCTGAAGTCAAACTCCATTCATCCCTTCAAAATCCGAAGATGGCTTAGAAAACTCCCAAAAACCCCAACCCCAAAGATGAATAAGCACATAGAAGACCAAGACAAGAGATTTTTACCTTGAATGAGCTGGAAATGGAACAAAATCCCTGGATCTCCAAGCCCCCACTCGAACTCTCAAGCTTCTTTCTCCTTCTCAAGCTTCACAATCCACCAAAAGCACCAAAATGGCATTAGAACACACAAAAACGGCTAGGGTTTCGATATACAGCTTTCTAGGAGTGATAAGGACGATGGAGGCTAAGATGAGATGTTTAAATAGGGTGCAAACCCTCAAGTTTAGGGTTTCACTCAAACAACACCTACTCGTCGAGTCAGTCTCCCGACTCGTCGAGTAGGTCACTTAAACTTCCCGCGGATCCCGACTCTACTCGACGAGTTGGGCCACCAACTCGTCGAGTCCCAGAGAAAATACATACAATTCTTGAATAAAATACATACCAGGAATCAGGTGTTACAAGATGAAAGGGTTGTGTGGATGGTAGATGTCTAGAAGTGAGTGGGGTAAGGAGTTTTTGGTCATTTTGTTTCTTGTTCTCTTGTGTTCCACCCTTTTGGGTGGGACTAACTGGACTTGGTCAACCACTCCTCGTGTTCTAGTCCCATTTACGCCAAACACCTATTGGAAAAATTTTGTTATGTTTTGTTTTGTCCTGTTTCATGCACCAAACACTCCATAATGGAGCCAAAACTTGTGCATGGACACAAGATGACTCCAACATGACTCTTTTTCCCGTTCTATAGAACATATTGACCATTGAGGATCCATACCAAGCTCTAGAGTTCCTCAAACTCCAAGAGAATCCATGGAGGGGATCAAAACCACACGGATATAACCTCAAACTTGAATCTAGAAGAATAAGGGACAATGTATGAACTTTATACCTTAAACAGCTAAGAAATTATATATAATATTAAAAGTGAGTGATCTTATGAATAGTTCATTTTGTGCATTTCAGACATTACCCACAATAGTTTGTAGGGCTTAACAGCTTTAGTCCCTGGTCTGCTCCCACCTCAACTGCTTCCAATCAGAACAATAGATGATACACCGCTAGCTCTATAGCTTTTAAACAAACAAAACTCAGTTACCTCAAACTGTAAGAAACAAGGAGAGGCCACACAAAGAAATCTCGCGACCTGCCAATTGTAGCGTCGCTTTCCATAATTGACCCGTCAATTTCCCGTTTCCTTGAAGCTTTTTAACTTTTTTATTCGTCTTCTACATCCACCGAAAAAGTTTCTTTCTTTGCTTTATTCGGATTTCTTTTTGCTCATTTGGGTTCTCGATTTTTGGGCAATGGGAAGGTCCTTAATGAAGCCAAAACTTGTGCATGGACACAAGGTGACTCCAACATGGATCCGTTTTTCCATTCTATAGAACATATTGATCGTAGAGGAACCATACCAAGCTATGGAGTTCTCAAACTCCAAGAGCATCCATGGAAGGGACCAAAACCACCCCAAATATGACCTCAAACTTGAATCTAGAAGAATAAGTGCCAAGGTATGAACTTTATACCTCAAATAGCTCAGAAATATGAAGATGTTGGATCCAAGCTTGATGCTTACTTCCTTGCACCAAGATGAACCTCTCCTTTCCAAAGATTCACCAAAATCCAAAGAATAAGTTCTAAATCAAGAAATCAAGCCCTCAATCATGCATGTAGGCTAGGTTTCGTATGGAAGGGTTGGAAGTTGAAGATGATGCCCTAAATCTTGAGTTTATGTGCTTAAATATGGAGAAAACCCTAAAAATTGCGGGCTTGGGCTGCATCGACTGTCACGCCATGGTCTTCATCTTGCCACATCGTAACGGCCATCCAAACACATGTTTTTTTGAAATTGCAATGCCTCGTCCTGGCACCTCATTCTCCATGTCGTGGCACATGGTTTTTTTTTCCCAAAAACCTTACATTTAATCCCTTAAGCCCTTAAATGATCTATCCTGGAAAACGGGTGTTACATTTAGCAACAAATATACAATTTCTATAAAAATAAAAAATGTTAATTCACTGATAAAAAATAGCGTTCTATTATACTAAAATTTATCAAGTGATGTGTTTAGTCGTATTATTGTTTTCACAAATGACACTTTTGTTTGTTGACGTGAAAAAGGCATGCTTCCGATTTATTACTTTTAGTATATAGATAATTGTGGCCGATTAATATCAAGATATGACATTGTAGCACGATTTGCTAAAAGATTTTCGTGCTATTATTTTTTATAACTTAGAAGAGGTTAGAAGACCTTGTCCCATTTAAGAGGACGCACAAACCAGTTTAAGGTTGTGGTCTTCTAAAAAACAAACGGTTGTAGATGGAAATGTTTGCGCGCTGTGTGTATGACAAAACATAAGAGGTCAAGAAGCTTTTTTGGTAAAAAGGTAAAAAATAAATAAACATCACCTTAGAGTCCATATCTCATTGTCTCACTTTTTTTATAGGACACATGTCATAATCTAAGTCCAATACATGTCTAGAGGTGGACAAAAAACCAGTTTGGGATTAGAAACTGGTTTTGAAATTGAACCCGATTGAATTAGAAAATAGTTTGAGAGATGTCATTTCCATTAATTAGTATAAAAATGTCATTTCCACCCATTATTTCTTCTCATTGTTCTTGATACTATATTTTGGAGGTTTTCCAAGATCGAATTTCAGCCTTTGTACAGGTCTCATGTGCCAAAATACACTTTGTTTTTAACCTCCTAAACGATCCTGAATGGTCATTTCTGATCAACCATGAAAATTTCATTAGACCCTAACATCAAAATCGAGTTTTGCAAAATTGCAAAAAGATGATGAAAACATACTTTTTTCAAACCAGTTTCACTAAAACCAGGCCTATAGGTTTGAACTTTCCCATGAACCGGTTTTGCCTCAAATCAGTTTTGAATACTGTAGAAAAAAACAAGACCCGTTTGAATTTAAACCGTTTTGCACACCTCTATACACATCAAAAATTGTACATGTTTTAACACACAAGAGCATGTTTAACATGGCCCATTAGATTGAAGCAGGGTTAGGTTTCATCTATATTCAAGTGTGGATCTTGCAATCAAAATTCCCTTATAAATACCATAACAATATTATAATAAACAAGAACAATCGAATAAATAAATTTAACAAAAGTTCTCTTAGATAGAAGTACATGTCACCATTTGTCAACTCCCACGATCTAATATTCTTCAATACAAACTATTCCAATTAATAAGTATTGGGTTGTGATTTCTATATTAATTTAAAAAAAAAAAAAAAGAAAAAAAAAAAAAACTGAAAAGAGTAGCTATAGAGGCATAGTAAGTTGTAATGTGTATCATGAGTTTACTTGGATCAAAAATTTTAATCTTCTGTAATTTGATTCTGGTTTATTGACTAATGGTAGTCAAAGTCAAACCTTTGACTTCCGGTTCATTTTACCTTCTCCTCTTTGACTCTTTTCGCATCTCAGCAAGGTAGATCTCTAAGTTTGACTTCACCCATAAACGTCGATTGATGAGATCTTTCTTGGTTGACTCATCTAACAATTACAATACCAAATGTTCAGTTGTAGTGTTTTGCAGATAAAAGAATATAAATAAAATCTATTATTCTAATGCATCACCTAAAAAAATTGCTATGAAATTTACCATCTTCAAAATTTTAAATTTCAAAATGACAAAGAGTTGAGAAAGTTTAGGAGGTTTACAAAGATAATTACAATCATGTTTCTCATGATAAAAAGGGGAAAATTGTGCAAATAAAATATCAGAATTTTTTTTTTCAACATTTAGATAATGACAAAAAAAAACATATATAGCTAAAGGTTCACAATGTTAAGAATAGCGAAAAGATAATTCTTGGTAGAAGTTGAATCAGAATCAGAGAACTAAATAATTAAAATTGGTTAAATTCATAGTAGTATAATTATAATTTGAAAGGAAGGAGATATTTAAAATAAATCAAAGAAAATAAAAAACATAAATGTTGTGAAATAGTTGTATAATAAATAAATATAAATAAAGTAAGTTTTACCAAGATACTCCCATGAATCAGGAGGTGCCCCAAGAGCTCTTCTAGTCAAGTAAGATGCATCTTCCCAAGAATACGAAGTTCTATTTATCTTGTATCTCCAATACCAAGATCCATGCCATAAAACTAACTGGAAAAAAAATAATAAAAAATAAAAAATCAATGATATATATATATATATATATATATATATATATATATATATATATATATGCTACAAATTTCAAATGATAGGATATATAAAAAGACCTTTCCAAGAGTGTATGGCAAGAGTATAAAACGAACAGCAAGAAGTCCCCACATTGATGGCTTTTCAGCACCTTTTATCTGTAGTTCAAGTTCCTTGCTCAGCTCTTCCTGTGTTTTCCTGTCATATAAAAAAAACATTTCTTGCTTAATTCTCAAAAAAGACGTAAATGCCCTCCTCATCCAAAAATGTGACTGTGTGAGAGGTCAATGGGACAAAAAACTGCAACTTTTTGTCCCACACTGATAAGCCCCAACTTTACTGGTTTATAGCATAGGGGTATTTCTGTCTTTTATCTATTTATTTTCCTATTGGCTGTTTTGTTAGTGGGAACATCACCTGTTATTCCCTTTTGTCTTGTCTCTAGTCTCTAGTGATAGTATATATAGTCCTTATGTTTTAGGAAGTTGGCAGCTAAGAATTGATTTGTTAAGAACTTTGTTCTTCTTGGAGAGTCCATTCCTCTCGAATGAATGGGAAAACCCTAATCTATCTTATCATTTCATAGTTTGATTATCAATGGAATCTGTGCCTTATTCAAGAAAGAATCAGGGCCTATCACACACCCAAAAAAGGTGGGACAAGATTCGCTCTCTGACATTGTTTGTGCAAAAGACGTAAATGCCCTCATCATGGAAAATAGCTGTAGAAAGCTTAGAGAGTAATCTTGAACAAAGGATTTAATTTAAAAAAATAAAAAAAAAAATGAAAAAAGTAAATGAGAAAATGAGATTGTTTCATACTTGTCAAGCTTGTAACCACCCTTCTTTTTGCTTGATAATGCTCCAGTGCGTTCAAGTTCCAATGCCTTCAACTTATTTTTGTATGCTGGTGTTCTTTTCACCATGTCAATAGCCTATAAAAGGTAATAGTGATGAATTGATGTTTTTGTATTTGTTGATTTGTTTAAATGTTAATAGTGATGAATATGGTGAAATTTGTTTGTTGGAGTGTTAGAAGGACCAAATGGTGATTTACTCACATTCAGACAGTTTATTACTTCATTCAGTAAAAGAAAAAAACATTATCTTTGTATACAACACTTACTTTATACATACATCATTATCCATTCAACTACTATATCCATTTCCCTGATTTAGAACTTTCTCTATTAAGTCGTTATTTGTGCATTGAGTAAAAAAGAAACACATGTATATAGGTATAATAGCATGTCATTTACCTGATGATACCTTGTCCACTGATTCAAATATTGAAATGCTGAGAGAATTAGAAGAAGTCCCACTAAAACAGCACGAGGATCCTATTTAAACATGATAAAAAGAATGTAATAAAGATTTGTTACAATTTACAAACTTCAAAACAGAAAGATACAAATTGCAAGTTTATTTAAACTAACCGTTTTGTGACCATAATAAGCATGATAATAGCGAGCTGTATTATAAAACACCTGCAATTGGGAAGAGAGGGGGGAATAATTATCATACAAGCATAAATACTTCATAATGATTTGAAATATAGCAATGAATTCTATAACTTACCTCCTCTGGGTGCTCAATTGCATAATCATATTGCCCTCTTGTAGCTTCATCTTTTAAGATCTATGAAAGAAAATGGAAAGGGACAAGTGTCATTTTACCCCATGAAACACAAGTTCATAACCCTATGTTATGAATTATTCCTTTAAGCAGCATACTCTTTGTTATGTTTCAGTACTTGATATATAGTTTAATGCATCACTATGTTATTCAAAATAGATACATACACAGAAATAGAAACCTTTAGATTTTTTCGTTAAACAGTTCAATAGCAAAACTGATAAAAAAACAGATACGAATTTACGCCATAGATTAATACGGTTAAGAAATTATCTCAAAAAGCTTAAAATTTACATCAATTTTGAAGTCGATAATTAACCTGTTTGACCTCAAAAGTAACTTATGGTTCTCTTTTGGAGCGTGAAGGGTATGTAGAGCATTAAATTGCAAATAATTCGATAGAGAAGTTCAAATAAAATTGGGTACCTCGTAAGCATTTGCAATTTTTACAAACAATTTTTTCGATTCGGGATCTGGGTTTTTATCCGGATGACTGTAAAAACAAAATTCGATTCAATATCAAACAACAAACTTAATTCGACTGTACATTACATAAATTAACAAGAATCTTACTGTTTCAATGAGAGCTTGTAGTAAGCTTTCTTGATTTCAGATGCATTTGCATTTTGAGAAACCCTAGAGTAATCAATCAACAAAATTTTAGTTAAAATAAAGGGGTGAAAGTGAAACTGTTAGTCATTAGAGGGGAGAGGGTAATTTATAGCTAACCCTAGTAGATCGTAGCAATCATCTTCGTCGCAGTAAATGGAGATCGAAGGTTGTATGAAGAAGATCATGAGAAGCGATACGACGACGCGTAACGATGGAACGACGTCGTAGCCATCGTCTTCTTCGCTTTGATCCGTGAACAGAAGTTTTTGCCGTGAACTCCTTTTTGTCTCCGGAGGGTAACGTGAAAATTACATTTCTAACCTCAAAGTTCGTTGCATTGGTATGGGCCTTACCTACCTTCTGATCGGGCCTTATTTCCTTTGCTCTCTAACTTTTAATCACAATCATATATATATATATATATATATATATATATATATATATATATATATATATATATATATATATAATATATATTAAAACGTTTGATGCCCATGCTAAGCACGGGCCACAGAAGGTAATTAGGGTATTTCTTTCACCATTATGTAATTTATATGATGCTAAGTGGATTTTCAGTGTAAAATTCTTGAATTATAAATGAAAATGGATGTATATTTTTATAATTACAAGTACATTACTATGATTGGTAAAGGATTGTAAGTACATTGTTATTTTGGGAAAAAAAACTATAACTTCAACTTTATTACATGTAAAAAGTTATGTACAATGATAATATGAATATAAAAATTAAAACATGTTATTCCTTGCAGTTTACTATTTGTTTGTTATATTGCTGAAAAAATCACATGATCGATTCACTTTTTTCTCTTTAAGGCATTGCACATTGAAAGCTACCAGATTATAAGATTGTACTGCAATGACTATGATAACACAAAATTTGGCTCATTATTAAAACTTTAGCATGAAAATGTAAGTTTTGCTTGTATTCTTTTCTATTGGTTAATTATGCTTGAACCACAAATTGTAGTTCTTTTCAATTTTTATGTCAAATGTACAGTATTTGTAAATATAGTAAAAAGTTTTAGCTAAAAACTTTTAACATCATTGTTGTAAGCATAAGCATTTTACTATTAAGACATTGTATGTTTAAACATGATATGTGCATATTTAGCTATATATTTAGTATAGATTTTTATTATTTATTGGCTAATTATTTGCAAATTATGGACAAAAGGTGCTTAATTGTGTTAAATTGTATTTTCAGACCAAAAGATATGCTCGGAAGCAAAAGGACGCAGGAGAGGTATTCGGAGGCTCGGAAATTGAAGAAGGAAGAAAAAGAACCAAAATCCTGAAGCACTCGACGAGTAGGCACGAATGTTCGCGAAGTAAAACACAAAGTCCTTACCGTATACGAATTCTTCAAGGGGACTCGGCGAGTCGGTTTGCTACTCGACGAGTAGCCTCTGTTTTCTGAAAACTATAAATAAAGGTGAATTCCGAGTCCAAAACTCTCTCTGACTTTTTGGAAGGTTACTTGGCGACCAAGAAGACTACTGGAGATCTGAGAAACGTGAGAAGTACCCTAATCCTCAATTCGAAGAAGATTAAGGCAACATAAGTCTACTTTTCCATTTATCTTTGAATAGAACCATGTTTGGATTGATTGAATTCGTTTTTAGGTTTTTATTTGCTGTAATTATGAACTAATTTCGTTAGTTTCTATTTAGGGTAGATAAGTTTGCTCCTATGGATTAATTTATGTTGGATTGATTGTTATTTGGTGAATTTTTGTTAAATTAAGCTTGTTAAAGACCCTTATGCATTAACCACAACTATTTTCTGTTAATTGCTAAGTAATTAAGCTGCATGAACATCTCTCAATTACTTATCTCATGTAATTTATGTGCACATTGTTATGTGCCTAGGAATAGTGAATGTAAAACTAGGATTAACTAGAGAATGGGTAAATTAATGTGTGAGCTTGTTTGAGAAAGCATCAACAAGGAGTTAATTGAATTACTAATTTAATTAGCTAATTACAAGTCTTATTTAATTCGAATAATTAAACTAGGAAATTCATTAGTTTAGTCACTTGATCACTGCTTAAATTAATTTGTTTCCTAAGGATTGGTAATAGCAGATGTGAATCTAATCACTTTAGTCGGTAACCAATAACAATTAATCCATTGCATTGCCATAAAATTAACCATAGGAGTGAATGAATCGAACCTAAACAGAAACCCTTTTGATTATTGAATTTAGTTGATTTTTACTTGCTTTTAGTTGTTAGTTAATTGTTAGTTAAATTTTAATGAAGTTTCTAGTCTTGCAAAACTAGAGAAAACTCTTCCATTTTACTAAATTGTTTTAGATAATTATAGTAGTTAGATTAATTTCCGTTCCCTGAGTTCGATACCCTACTTGCTAATTCATACCACCAATTGACAGGTTCTCTGCCTTTTGTGTATCAAATTCATAATTAAAAGTAGGACAAAACCAGTGCATTTTTATACACATCAAAACACTTACCAATATAACATTAGCCTTTCAGTCACACGTTTTTTAGGAAATACCAAAAGATGAACTTTATGAGTGTAATATATTTGATAAATATAAAGATACATAGATTTAAGTTTTAACTAAGGCATACTACAAAACTGTAGCAAGTACATTTCATATTTATTTTTGATGAATGTTTCAAAAGTAACTCAAACATAGAAGAATTAGAAGCTAATATGACTTTACCATTTACAATATGACCCGACTCATTTGAAAGAATAAATTCTCAATTTTCTAAACTTACTTTTAGGAATTATAAACACTCTTTAATCGCTATTTATCAAATGTTCTTATAAAAATAAATATAATAAAATAATTTTAAAAAGTTTAGAAACTAGGAACCTATAACACATTCCAAATGGTTCTGTGAGCGGTTCAATTAAAATAAGAACCTATGTATGTAACTGACACCAATTCCAACATTCTAGAAACAACAGTTCCGGTAACGATTCCGGTCAATTTTGCAGGGTATCCGCCTATGCTCACTTCAGTGTAAATATCAAGTACATAAGACTACTCGGTATGGGATGGAAATGCCGTGGAGGCGCCTACATGGGGCCTCGACAACGACGGTATAACGCCGTTCGTTAAGGTATAAGGTGTGGTAATGACAACGCCCATTTTTTCTTTCTTCCTTCTTTTTCATTTCTTCTTTCTTGGCCTCACAAATACGTTGAAGGCTTGTAACACCACCCCCAAAAAAATGTGGTGGAAAGAAAAGGAATATTTATGCTGATGTGGCCTTTCAACAATGTTATTCTTTCTTGACCCATACCTGATACTCTAATACTTAGAATTTGAAGTTTTATCCTACCGTTCCTAATAAGGCCGACATTTATACATCAGGGCCTATGAAACAACATTGTTATTTCTTACGTTTAGCATAAATTAGAACACAATATTTATGGCATTTAATTTACATAGGGCTTCAGCTCAAACAAGAAGCCCTCAATTAACCGTATTGTCATATCCATGCAATAAAATAAGTAACTAACCTTTGTTTGCTTAACATAAAGAAGTGGAATGAAGTACTGAGCATCTAATCTGTAATAGATTTTGAAGGGCACAAGCCACCAAGACCTACAACATCTTAAAGGACAAATCTATTATAAAAATAAGTGCAAGGGTAACAAAATTTTCTATGAGTAATCTCCAATCTAATTCCTCGATTTGCATTGGTCACCAAAGCAGTAGATTATGCAGACCACAATCTAAAGGTTCCCATAATGAAAATTGGAAATTAGGTATTTCAATTGTGAACTAATATAATAAATACCCAAATCACGAGGTTGAAAGTCACAATTTCATTGTTCATGCCACATTAAAAACAAGAAGGATCATACATAATATAGAAATGTATCCTTTGGTTGCCGAAAAAGGAATTATATGGAGAAGAGAAGAGGTATTTGTGGAAGCCTTAAGAATGAATGTAAGAAAAAAAATGCCAGTATCCTTCCATGAGTTGAAAGCATATCATCAAACATTAACTATTAACTCTCTTCGGTTACTTATTCCCAATATATAAAAGGAATCAAGCTAATTAAATTAGATTGTGGTGGAAGGAAAAAAACCAAAATAAAAGGTGATGAGATGGAACAGCAAGAAAATGGCAGACATTGTTATCCTCTTTATATATCAACCGCCTTGCATTTTGGAACAAATATAAGAATAAAAGCTATAATATTAGACATAAACCTTGCAGATGCATTAGTTGTTGGAATTCAAATTCCTAATCATAATATATACTTTTGAATATTTATTGAAATGCAACAAAGCTATATATAGAAAGTTAAACTTTACCTTATTCAATAAGTTCATTTGCAATTACACTCAAATACACAGACTATTTTCATACATTACCCCATTCTCTTCATTTGGTGCACCAATTGTCTCATCAAGCATCTACACATGATAAATATAAACACATCCAATTAACAAAAGCCACACAAAATTATCTCAGGAATAGTTATTTATAAAGTTTATAGAACAGAGAAACCCATTTGTCATTTAGGGAGTGAATCAAACCCGAGTGAAATTGAAGTTTTCAGCAATGTGAGTGTAACATCCGGATTCCCAGGTATTATCTTATTCATTTATTTTGAGTTTGAGAGAAGGACTCGACGAGTCGACGCCTAGAATCGTCGAGTAGGATCACGTTTTGCTGACTAGATTAATGAATGGACTCGATGAGTCGACAGGGTGACTCGACGAGTCAGTGCTGACGGCAGAAACCCTAAATCTTTGGGCCTGTGCCCTATTTAAGGGTCCTTATAGCCCTCATTTGCGGCTACCAGTCCAGAGAGAGAAACCCTAGAGAGCTTGGGCGAGTTGTGTGTGGGAGCAAGCCATTTTAATCCTTTTTGGTGTTATTTTGCAAAGAAGAAGGTGTTCCCAGCTAGAGGAGGTCAAGAGGATTGCTAATCGTGTTTTCAAGCTTGGATCTGCAGTATTGAGGTAGCAAATCGAACTCTCCTTCTGTTTTGGTTAAAATCTATGAATCTAGGGTTTTCTATACCCTTTTTATGGCTTGAATTGATGAGTTTATGGTCCCTTTATGTGTTAGACTTCAGATTTGGACCATAGAGGTCCAGAGAGCATTATCCATCGTGCTTTATGAAGTGTTATGGAAGGAATGAACTTAGGTTTGCCATTTTTGAGGCTATTTCTTCAAAATGAACCATATATGTGTTGCATGAGTGTAAAGGTTTCACCTTTACGTGATTAGTGGGTATGGAAAGGTCAGATCTGTTAGAACAAAGTTCTAGTAGGATCGATAGATTCTAAGCGGATAAACAATTAAAGACGTAACGATGAACACAAGAATGGATTAAC